GACTAATAATTGACGGCTGTACTCGCAACTAGTATCGGATTGTCGATGCCACAGTAAAGATCAAAGGACTGTACGCACGCGCTATGTTCGAGAGCGGAGATGTGCGTCCTTTTGTTGAATTACCTTGGTTTAACAGTTTTGACTCCCACACCCCCATCGGAACAAAAAAAAAATGATATGCCTATACAAATAATGTTAGGCCTATTTTGATTGATTGTCAGTCCTTAATAGTGGGATCTAAAAGCACAATTTGGGCGGCACCATGCCATAAAACCCTCCCAATGAACCCTACCAGGGATTTTCACTCCGAGACCCTGATCGAGACTCAGTCGGCCCATTGCTTTGGATCTCGCAGTCAGCAATATGCCTAAAAGTATGAAAAGTTGAAACTATAGGTGGCGCTTCAATTATAAACACCTTATGGCCGGTTCTTAAACTTTTTGCATCAGCGAACTTCTCGGGACATCTTAAAAATCTTGACAGGCCCCATGTCTTAGTATTACTGTCGATATCCCAACAATAAGATTATAGATTCGCCACAAAACATTAAACAGTGGCAGATACTGGAATTCGAAATAGAAACCACCTCAGCCCCCTATGTTTATGCACGTCTAGATGCCCGGAAATGCCACTGTCAGACTCAACATCAGAATGTCATTTTCTTTTATCCCCTCCACTTATTTTATTTTTTTATTTTTTTATTTAGGGCCCTCTGATTTGTTAAAAATCAAGGTATAAACCAATATAAAATAAAACATACAGATATTATTATATACACCTTTTGGCTGGTTCCAAACCTTTTTTTTTTCATTCGCGGACTCCTTCGGGGCATCTAAATAGTCTTCACGGACCCCCATGTCACAGTATTACTACAGTATTCCTCACTGTCGATATACCAACTCTCTAAACACTAAACATCTAAACTATGTTTTTATATGCATATTTACTGGGAGAACTGAACTGGTCACGGAAAGTGAAATCTATCAAAGAAAGCATGCTGAAACAGATGTAAAACGGGAGATAATTAATTACGTAGCAAGTGAGCAATGTAATTTTCAAAATTATTGGACAATACAAATTAATCTGGCTCTGTATCTGTATGAACTATAAACTATTGCATAACATTGTTCCTACTATAAAAAAAAAATACACACATTTAGAGAATTGGCAGTGATAATACATGTCCCGAGTGCAACGTAGTTAGATACACATCTTTTTAATTATTTTACAGAATCACACGATCTGTGAAATTTCATTAATGATTTTAGCCCTTTAGTCCTAAGGCAGGGGCGCCGGTAGCTACTGCCTTAACATCGGCGTTGGTTCCAGACGCTCCCCGCCATTGGTTCGGTTGGTACAACCAGGTCTTCTCGGATATGGACTTAAAATGAAGGTCCAGTGTATCATCTGGTTCTTGTGCACTTTAAAGAATCCATTGCATCTTTCGGAAGAGATAAGGGGTTACCCGGATGTTAAGGTTCATTTCAGCCCCTGTCGTGTCGTTGAACGATGTGAACATGAAGCGGCTCTTTACGGCTGCTAGGTAGTCACGGACCACACCCATACGCAATTTAGCACAATGACACTGCAGGTTATGGGTTATCCTCCTACCTTCTTTTAATACATGTATATGTAACTTTCGTGGGCTATCCTTGGTGTTTACTTTACACCGAATAAATCCAATCCAATCAAATCCAATCCAATGTAGTAAGAACATAATAGAAAATATTTGAAATGAAAACTTCTTAAATAATTTTAAATCAATGACCACTTTTATAATCGTTTGCTGCAAATTCTCTAGCATTTTTATATTGCCTATCGCATTACTGTTAACTGTTTATTTTTTATTTTTAAACAAATTTATTTAAATATTTTTATATGCAATGATTTGTCTTTTGGTTGGTCTAAAAATCCAGGTGCCCCCAAATATGTTTCACAGACCCCAAATTTGTTCGTGGATAATCTGCAGACCCATTTGACTTGACGGACCCCCAATTATTTTCCGCGGATCCCTATTCTAGAATATGCAGCCCCAGTGTGGGGTACTAATATCACTAAGCAACAAAGCCAAGTTCTCGAACAGATCCAAAAAAGAGTGCTTAAATGTATTCTTCCTGGTGTTAGTTATAATGGAGCCCGGTCTCTGCTTGAAATGCCAACATTGGAAGAGCGACGAGTTCGACTACGCAGGGATTTCTTTAACAAAATCAAGGATTCTAATCATAGAATAAACTATTTATTACTTACTGCCCGCGATTCTAACAATCTTAGAAGACCCCGTCAATTTAGTATCCCGAAGGTCAACACAAATCGATCAAAATCATTTATAACCAATCATGGCTTGTTCCAAAATTGGTAACCTTCCCTGCACAGTTAACACTTCCGTTCTCCTCACTTTCTTTTTATAATGCTTTTGTGAGTTTCGTCGTGTTTTTGAGAAACCCTTTTTGATGTTAAACTTCAATCTCTTTTTATACTGATGACTGCAATAAAGTGATTTTGTATTTGTATTTGTAAAGTACAGTATGAAACACATAAATAAATCTACTTACTGAATATTCATTAGTAACTCTATTGAACGCAATATACAATGTATTTACAGCTGGAATGTTCATACATTAATAATATTTTTTACAACAAAATTGGTATATTTTTTAACAATGTGCCTACTATAATGTAATGGTATCATTGTTGGCGGTGAATGTTTGCAATCTACTGCTTCAATTGAAAATGTCAGGCTCAGAGATTAGAAATGTAAGTATATTGCCGAAACAACCGAACATGTTCATTATTGTAATGAGTAAATAAGAAAATTATCATTTAAGAAAGTATTGAGTTTTTTTTATTCATCCTATAGATTTTAAAAAATGCAAAAAGGAAGATCAATAATATCTGAGGTTAAAAAAAAATCTTTCACAAGGAAAGTCCATTGCCAAAAAGAAAAAAATAAATAAAACATTTAATCACATTTTTTTCTAAGTAACCAAAGTCATTGATACTTTTATATTTACAGCTGAGTGCCAACAGCATTTAAAAATAAAGGTCTCCCTCTAATTAAAAGACCCCTCCAATTCGGACCACGGAGTCCAATTAAGGAACACGTATTTTCTGTGGTTCCAAATTAACAAATGTCTTATCTCTGTTATTCTAATTAAAGACCAAAGCTGCTAAAGACCATGGAAGCCATGGTCCCAAAAGTGGTGTGTAATTGGAGAGGCCTTAATACATAAGTAGTTTTTATTATTTAAATAATAAACAGTGGAGGACTGTAGGCTAAAATGTAGGGTATGCTGGGGTTGGGGGTTGCCATTGTAAGGGTTGTAGCTAGTAAGTTAGTTGAAAAATCAAAGACGATATCAAGGCCATAATGAAACTTATTAATTAAGATTTCACTCACAATTCGCCGGCAGCAACAAAATCAGGCTACCGTAAATGCGAATAAGCACCACTCTCGAATAAGCGCAGTAACAAAACGTGATTTTTTTTTCGTTAAAATGGATATGAAACCATTTTCAAAAATCCAATGAATGAAGGTTTTGGAATCCTTTGGTAGTCAATAAACCAGTCACAAAATACTAACCTTCAACAATTTGTTGAATTTGAGAAATTAATAAAAACATTTGTAAAGTAATTTCTCCGAAAAATGGCCGATATGTCGATACGCCATCTTTGTTTTCATACGCATTCTAAACCCACTGCGATCGTTCAGATAATTTGAAACAACTGCGTTATATTCCCGACAGTAAGTGATTTGTGATTGGTCAATCAAATTACACTTTGACACGATAATCGTCGACACGATTTAAGTAAACAAACAAGATGCCGAACGGTTGTTGTGTATTGGGCTTCAATAGAACGCAAATAAGTCACCCAAAAGTATCGTTTTTCCTCTTTCCCAAGAAAGATAAAAATATAAAAACTTTTAATAAGTGGGTAGAATAAAGGACAACGAGGAAGAAGATGTTGAAGAAATGCCATCTCAGACCAAAAAAGAAAAACAACGAATCTATATACCGACGAAAACGGGAGGTTGAAAGTGTAAGTACAGGTAAGTAAAGTAGCTGGGCTGGGCCTAGGTAGCGTATTAGCTAGGCATGGCCTAGCCTAGTCTAGTTTGGGTGGGGGTGGTGGCTAGCCCTCGGCGGCCCTACCCTACGTAGGCCTAGAAATTTTGCGCCAAAGATTGCTATGAAGATGATGCACAAAATCGTACCTTACTAATCTAGGCCTATACTACTTCTTAGGCCTAGCAGCAGCAGTTCTGGGGTCTACTATCTACACTACTACTAGTACTAGGCCTAAATCTTATGCATTCGCCGTAAATGCTAATCACATGTTTCAGCTAGTATTTGCTTTGGAACCTACCAAGCACCCTCTTTTACTCCTGGGTGGAGGCAACGATAACGCCTTGCCAAATGACCCTAGTGTAGAATAATTGGGTGCAGGTCAACTCGGCCACAAGTCAACTCGGCCACAGTCAACTCGGCCACAAGTCAACTCGGCCACAAGTCAACTCGGCCACAAATCA